AAACAATAAGAACCAAGAGAGTATGTAAAGGTGCATATCTTCAATGATGAATGTCATTATATTGTATACCTAAAATGTACCAATAAAAGGATATACAAAAAAAATAGAATGGTAATCTCTATATAAACATGAGCCTATACTTATCAATTCTTAAGCAGATGAATAACATGAAACTGAAAAGGACATGGAAAGGATATCTAACATTAATCAATTCTATACATTTAGTTTACAGCTTAAAATGGGTTTGTATTCCAAAGGGTAATCTACAGATCCGTGATTTGGAATTCAGAATACATTTTTCTATAGCAACAGTGCTATAAATCAATTTCTTGTCTGTCAGCAAAAATTTTAGCCCACAACATAAGCCAAACTATAATACCAATATCTGACTCTAAATGGACATTTTTCTGTAGTTTCTGTGTGGAAAATGAATTTTCATTTTCAAATGGGAATTTTTAAGACCATGTAACTCTTCCAGCTCCTTAGGCCTATGAATGAAATGTTCTGCTCCTTAAGGCCAATACTCAGAGCAGTCTGCAACTCTTCCTTTTCCTTACCAAACCAGTATAAGGAAATAAATGGTAGACTCATGGTTCAGGAAAGGTCAAGACTGTAAAATTTAAAATTTGGTAAACCACAGTTTTCAAAGCACTCTGGGTTAAAGGCTTAAGTAAGAAGGGACCTTAAGATTTTTTTGAGAGTTTAGCTCTCAGAAAAATGTTGGGAATTTGTAAACCATGGTTATCCTAGACTAATTAGCCACCTTATCTCCCTGGGACTGGAATGGCTTTTGTGACAGCAGCACCATCTTCCAGGGCCAGTATCCTGTTAGAGCAAGGGTTTTCTAGTGAATACTTAACAACTCACCAGAAAAATAAATGCATGTAAATTTATTATAAATTTTACTTATATAAAAGATATAGCACATAATAAAACATGCACTATTCAATCATAAATTCCATGTAGCAATTTGTTTCTTACTGAATTCTTTCTTTTGTTTGTTTTTGTTTTTTTGTTTTTTGTTTTTGTTTTTGGTACCGGGGATCGAAATCAGGACCTTGTGCTTGTGTGGCAGGCACCAGAACCACTGAGCTAAATCCCCGGCCCTCTTTCTGAATTCTTTCAATGATTTTGGCTGAACACTCATCAAATGCAGTTGGTGATAGAATATTGTTCCAAAATGAATGATGATTATTAGTGTTTGCACTACATTAAGAAATATGGAAAAAGTGAAACAATGATGACATTTGTTTGAACTTTATTCACTTGAAAATGATATGGACAACTGTTTAGCCAAATCCGATGATAGGTTTAAATATTTGAAAAAAATTTCCTCAAAATTGTATGGTATTCACAATGTAATGGCTATAGATACAGCATCCTTTTAAGCTTAATCTTCACTATTAGTATTAGTCTCTTAAATTGAAACTTGGGTTAGCAAATATTCTTAAATGGCAAGAGAGTAAATATTTAAGGGTTATGGTGTCTTCTGTCTGTATTTCAGTGACTCAGTTCTGTCATAGTAATGGGGAAGCAGCCATAGACAATATATAAATAATTGGGGATGGACGTAATTATTTTCAAAAATAGTTAACTAGCCCATAGGCTATAGTTTGCCAACCTCTAGTCTAGGCAATTAACAAAATAAAAAATCAATCCTTGATTTGGGATTTGCAGATTTCCAAGGTTTAGGTATTCCCAACATGATCATGGGATGTCACTGACCTCAAAGTTGTAGATGTATTTTATTGTTTTTGTATATAGTATCTGCATTCCTATCATACAGATACAATTAATGCAAATAAGCTGAGTATATGAGTATAAATCAGAAGCAGATGAATTCTGAGTATTTATCTTTATTTTAAAATATATTTAATATTACTTATTATATAATTATATAATTATAAGTCTATCTGTTGATTTTTAATAAATTAAAGGACTGTGCTTAATATTCATTGTTTACAAAATTCCTGAAAATTTAACAATCAATTCTTGTGAGCTGACTCCAGATACCACTGTGTGAACGAGAGCAGAAATGTTGGCCATTGGAGAAAGGATTTGGTTGGAATCTGCATAAATCAAGGATTATAAAGAGGTGATTCTTGAACCAGAATATGAATCAGGGAATAGGAACTCTGGTTTATCAAAGACTTACCTTTCATTCTTTGTAGAAGAGTTCCATAGCCCAAATCATACTGGTAGGCAAAGATAAAGCTTAATGGAACTATAGGGATGAAGAAGACTGGCTTCTTTTGTTTTATTGCTCTGTTTCAAGAATAAAGAAGACCTTGTATCAAGGAATAATCTCTAAATACATATATCTACACTAAGTCTCCTTTTTGGAAGAATGTCCTCCATTTCAAAAGTTACTTCTTTTGAGTTCCCTATGGCAGTAAGATTTCCTTACCCAATACCTCTCATTACATTCTGCAGTTCTCATGGGAAGGGGTATGACTTGTTTATTTTGATTTGACTTTGAGGCTCAGATTCCTCATTTTAAAATGGATAAGGATTGAAAGCTATCATTCAAGGACTGTAGGGATAAACCCATAGAGGCCTCCTATCTTGGTATCTAGTTAATCCTTTCTTTAATTTATAAAGTACAGAAAAGGACAGAAGAAACCTACAAAACAAAGACAAAATTAACTACTACCCTCCTGGTTCTACAGAGCTAAACCCCAATAACTAACCTACAAGATGTTTCTTTGTTTACATATACATGATTTGGACCAAAGTCTTAGCCAACTTAATAATATGACTAAAGACAAAAAGAAGTAAATTATTAAAGAAAATCTTAAAGGAAATAGCAAACATACCCAGTTGTTAAAGAGATGGTTGCAATGCCAAAAAATGTTCCAAAATATTTGAGGAACTCCCGAGACCAAGCAATCTGCATAGCCATTTGTCTTTCCCTCATTTCATTCTGCAACATTAGGTGCCTTTCCAGCTGAGTATAAAACAAAAAACAAAGTGTGGTTACTTATCTGTTGAATCTGAATACAGAGTTAGCAGTGTGGGTTTACAGTGGATTTTTATTCTTCAATTGCTTTGATTCATTTTTTAAATTTTCATTTAAACATTGACTAACATTGCTCTGGACAGTTATCCCTATCTGTCACTTTGGCAGTGAGATTTCCTTGGGATATACGGTATATGTATGCAAAATAGATATTGATATTGGGTTTCTGCTTCCTACGGTCATGATTGCATGTAATCTGAAGCTTCTATCCAAGCATCTAATGTTCAGCTTTTTCTATTACATGTGAGGAAAGACCAGAGTCTTTAAACACAGATATATCTCACTGGTTTTATTGTTAACACTTGCATGGATATCACTTTGCGTTTCAAATCTGTCCTATTACTAATTAAAATTCATTTGGAGTATCACTTCCATATCACACTTTCATATGATGATAAAGAGGTATTTGTGACATCAATAGAAGTTTTTCTTTGCTATGTTTTTCTTCTTATGCCAAGTCCTTTGCCACTTTAATCAGTGCCTTTCACTGTTTTGGAGCAAAAGGCAGATAACATCCCAGAATATAGAAAGAGACTAAATATTAAATGGGTTTTAAGGAAATATATAGAAACAACAGAATGAAAATCTAAGTCCATTATTTGAAAAGAGCTGGATTCTTGAGAGAGAAATGTGTTGTATTTTTGGTTTTTTTATTCAAAAATCTTGACGTTGCATATTATTAGCAAAGCTATATGATAGCAATCATAGAATTCATGATGAAACACTAACATTGTGACTCAGTTTTCCTATTATGCAAAAAATAAATAATGTCTTTTGTATAATGTGTGAAATCTATCCTTGCTATATTACCTACTCAGAAAACTTACATGATAATAATGTCTCTTAAAGTGATGTATATGCAGCAATTGATCATTTGTGTTTTTATCAAAAGGCATCTGGACACAAAGAAGATACAGAAGAGCCTCAGATCAGTGGTTCTAAACCTTGGCTTACACTGTGAGCATCTGGGGAGTTTTTCAAAGTCCTCATGCCCAGACATATACCCTAAACCAGTTAAACGAGGTGGGACCAATTACATAAGGATCCAGAGGTGGTATCAGGTACAACGTTTTAAAAGATTGTTAAAAGATTTCTAGTGTGCAGCCAAGGATTGAGAACCACTGCCTGAAATGAACTAATTCACAGCCTAAGGGTTTTTTTCAACCAGAAAGCAAGCAGAGCTATCAGTCTGAAATGGATCCCTTGGGAACTCTCAAAGACTGTGAATAGATGGCTTTGTAAGGCACCTGCTTTGAGCCAGCCAACCAGATGGTGAAATGTGACCCTCACCATGGTAAATACATGGCTTGCTGCCTGTTGTACCATGGTGATGTGGTCCCCAAAGATGTCAAGGCTGCCATTGCCACCATCAAGTCCAAGCATACCATCCAGTTTGTGGACTGGTGTCCCACTAGCTTCAGGGTTGGCATTAATTACCATCCTGGTGGAGACCTGGCCAAGGTGCAGCAGGCTATGTACATGCTGAGCAACACCACAGCCATTGCTGAGGCCTGGGCTCACCTGTACCACAAGTTTGATCTGATGTATGTCAAGCGTGCCTTTGTGCACTGGTACATGGGTGACGGGATGGAGGAAGGGGAGTTTTCTGAGGCCTGGGAGGACATGGGTGCACTAGAGAAGGATTATGAGGAGGTTGGAGCAGATAGTGCTGAGGGAGAGGGTGAGGGTAAAGAGTATTAATCTGTCTGCTGCAATTTTACACTCCATTGTCTCGTCTTACACATTTTTTTATGTTCTGTGGAATTAAGCCCTAAACTGTCAATAAAAATGTTTGCGTTTTAAATTCCAAAAAACCCCACCAGATGTAAGGGATCTGTTTCTGTAAAGCAGAAACAGGATATGGTACAATTGTGATGGATGCAGGACACTCTGCACTTGTCTAATGCATAAAACTTTACAGCACAGAGTGAAACTCAATGTATACAAGTTTTTTTAACAGCCAAAAAGTGAAAGGATACACAAAGTGAGAATGTGGACTGTGGCAAAATAATTACATTACAAATGTATGGCATAACCTCACTGAATGGGTAAAGGGAAAGGATCTAACTAACTTTGGAAAATGATGTTTTGACCAGAAAGTATAAAACTAAAGATAAACAGAACAATATATAAACAATGTACTCTTATTGGTAAAGCGGTTTCTTACAGGTTACAGGTTAACAATTCTGAAAAAGTTTTACATGTCTGTTGGAGATGAACAAAAAAGCAAGTTGATAGCAAAGGTGGGAGCCAAGTTTCTTACTATTGAAGAGGGAGATTGCAAACAAGCAAGGGGAAAAAACTAGAATGAATCATGTGTTACTGTATTAGAGTCAAAGACATCAGTGTGAACTCATGTTTAGCTTAATGTAGACACGGTATAGGCAAAGATAAAACTATAGATATGCATGGGTACATGGGTTAGTGTAAGTACATGTACTTCCTAGATCTGTTTACTGGAAGGGCGTAGAGGTGATTGCGACCTCTTGCAAACAAGCACACTGAGCAACTAGACCATAGTTTATAATGCTACTCTTCAATAATAGGAACCAGGGCTCCTTGGAGAAATGGCAGACCTAGGGAGAGAAAATAACAGGAATCTAGATGAGCACCTTGTAGTGCCAAATATCCTGTACAGAAGAATTCAAAATCATATATATACACATTCTTTCTCCTTGAAAAGGGCAGAGCTTAATTTCCCAGCCTCTGATTGTGGGCTCCAATGAGTAATTATGAAAGGGCAATAGGTAGAAAGGTGAAGCTAAAGAATCAAGTTGTAGCATCCTGGATGGAAATCTGAGACAGCAAAAGAACATTAGAGAAAAATTAGTGAAGCCTGAGTAAGGAATTTATTTAGTAATAGTGTTTCAGTGTTGGCTTCTTAGTTGAAACAAACATACCATAGTAATGTGAGATGTTAACAGCTAAGGAGCTCTATACCTTTGCTGTAAATTTAAAAGTACTCTCAAATTTAAGTTTATTTTAAAATTTTTATAAGCAAATCTTATATTCTGGGTATCTGGTCTGGTTAGGAATAGAAGCAATCACCTCGACATACGTAAAAATCATCAAGGTTGTATATTTGCAATAAACTCTGAACCTAGAGTTTAAAAAAGATCCATGCAGACCCTTTTCATGAGCAACATGAAACATCCTGATGAAGATATCATTGAAATGTAACATTAATTCTTAATTAAAATATTCTTAATTACACCATGCATCATAAAATTATGTTTAAGTCACAGTTCTAGATCTATCTACATTTTAGAAATCAAATGAATAAATGACTACCAAACTGTTAATAGCCATAAAGGCATAATTAATTAGTGTGATTATTAATTTACTAGTAATAGGTATCCTTTAGATGTACATTTATTTTCCCCACTTTTCCCAAATATTTATACTAATAACAATAAATAAAAGCAAATGACAATATGTACAGTGAATACTGTTAACAGTTTTTAACCCAAATCATAAATATAAAATTATTTATCCTATTTTAAAAGACTTTCAAAATGGTTTATAATACTTTATATCTCTGTTCCTTTTGATATGTTTACAAAACAATTTAAAATGAAAATGTTCCTGATTTTGACTTTTCACTCCAATGATCTTACAGGTTTTCTGATGCTAGTTTAACAATTAGAACCACAATCAAGTTATTTCTATAAATATTTCTAAATATTTTGTTTTTTATATGTTACAATTTTATTTTTATGTAATTAATTTTAAAGAGAAGATAATACAAGGGAGATATCTTATCAGAAATAGTTGTACATAGTGGGAATAATTTATCGCCTTCATAAAACTGTTATATCTGCTTGTTCTTGAATGTTTTCATTTTTCAATTTCTTTGTTAAAAAATTGTTAAGGACATCCACAAAATTAATTAGCAATTTGTCAATCCCTTGAGTTTCCAAAAGGGCGATTACATCAACGTCCACAAAACATTTAAACCAATTTTTCCACTGATGAAAAATTAAAACAATTAAATTTCATCTGGATGCATAAAATATTTGCACAGCAAAAAGAAGGTAAAGATAGTCTATAAATTATCTTCACTGCAATTCTAATTTTATTTTAATTGGAGCCTTCATATTTTCAAGAAATAGGCTAACACAGAGGGAAAAAAAATCAGTTTACATCTGCATTTTTAGCTTCCAGTGGTCTTTTAAATTATGCATAATATAATCACATGGGGCTGGGGATTTAGCTTAGTGGTTCCGGCGCCTGCCTCACAAGCGGAAGGTCCCGAGTTCGATCCCTGGTACCAAAAATAAAATTTAAAAAATATATATATATAATCACATGTGTTATGAAAGCTGTCTTTTTGTTTACTTACCTGGTTAGTCTCAAAAAGTTATTGTACATGCTGTGTCACAAAAGGTTTTTTTTTATCAAAAATGAGAATATTTTTTATTTGTCTATGTCTTTGTTAAATTAATAGAGATATTATCATTACCTTCAAAACCCAAAGCAAAAATCTGTGCTTCAGGTAAAAAAACAAAGCAGAAACTAACATTTGTAAAGTAACAAAGCAGAAACTAACATTATTAAAATAATAAAGCAATCATAATGAAAGTTGTGACAAGTGGCATAACTAATTTTTTCTATAAGCATTTTAAATGCAAGGTGTCCATTAAATAATTTCAGAAGACTCTGGATGAGAAAGTGCATAGTTAATTGAAGTTTTTTTTTAATGCCACTTTTTAAAAATCAATGACTTTAAAAAATAATTAAATATAAACAAAATTGTAAACTATTCAGAGGTTTAAAAGCATTGTAGATACCATCTTGCTACATATAAAGAATACAACATAATTAAGAAAAAGAAGATAAAGAATAAGATAAGAAAATTAAGTAATTATAGTAAGATAAGAAATTAATTATAGTAAGATAAGAAAATTAAGTAATTATAGTAAGATAAG